AACCGAAGCTGCAAGTAATGAAGTAATGTGTAAAAGCTCATCGTATATAATTTAAAGTTTGGATTTGATAGCAGCCCCAAATTGACGGATTACATCTAAGTTATAAATGAAGATGAATTGATATGTTTAAAAAATTGTAAGTTGTTCATAGTTTGCATACATTTTGGCTGGCGTTATGTATGTATAAAGTGCGTTGGAGAAAAAATCCTAACCGATACAGAATGCCGATAAATGTCCTCCCAAGATTACCTTACTCATTTGTTATTCAAACCTGCCTGTACATTATACATGTACACGTTTCCCGGGAGCATTACTATATTACAACTCCTTTAATTTATTATAGACAATATTAGTTTGACCCTAGCTTAAGGTAGGCTCGCGAATTCCTTGCGGGAAGCACGGCAAAACACGATGTATTCTTATCGAAACACGGTGAATTCCTAGAGAAACACAGCGAATTCCTAGAGAAACACGGTAAATTCCTAGCAAATCTTAGAGAAAAATCGCCGTGGAATCAAGCGAAATTTCACCGTCCAAAAAATTTGGGAGGAACTGTATGGATACAATTTGTGTTTATGAGTTGAGGTTTTCCCCATAAATCTCCTAAGCCAATTTTAAAAAGTTCCTTCTTAACATTCAGGACCCACGGGTCATTATTTATTAAAATATTAGAGTAGCAAGAATTAAGTAAGACATTAGTAGAAGAATGTATTTTAATCCAGTATTTAAATATCCGTAACTTTCTTTTAATGATTAAAGGGAAACATCCAAGTTCATAATAGATCATGTGGGAAGTTGTGGTTGTTCTTGTATCTAATATTTTCCTAAGGTACCTTAAATGTACATGTATTTGTTCTATATCATGTCCCGAATGAAAACCCCATAATTTAGAATACAAGAGATGAAAGTATAAACCAGCGGCTGCCAGGCAGGATACGCCCACATTTTAGAGAGATGGATAGAGAACAAGCTAAAAAGAAAGCGATTTTTCGTACAATCAGGAGCCATAATTCAGGAAGTTAAGGTCCGATATGCACGAATATCGAAAGGAACCGAGATCTTTGGATTATAAACTTACATTTCAAGTTTCAACAAAATCGGATAACAATTGTGACCTCTATAGGGTCCACAACCTTGATATACCATATTTTTACGCTATTTGAGAACGAACAGCAGCCATTTTGTCTGTCAGTTTTGGGCCGATTTTCATGAAATGTGAACTCAACCATCCTTAGGGTGTAACGGTGATATACTAAAACGTTTTTTTAAATCGGATAAAAATTATGACTTCTATAGGGTCCACAAGCTAAATACGCGATTTTTCGTACAATCAGGGGCCATAATTCAGGAAGTTAAGGTCCGATATGCACGAATATCGAAAGGAACTGAGATCTTTGGGTTATAAACTCACATGTCAAGTTACAACAAAATCGGATAAAAACTGTTACCTATTGTATAGGGTCCACAAGCTAAAACGTGATTTTTCGTACAAACAGGGGCCATAATCCATGAAGTTTCGATCCGATACATGCCAATATCGAAAGCAGCCGAGATCTTTTGGGGATAAACCTTTATTTCAAGTTTCGTCAAAATCGGACAAGAATTGTGACCTGTAGAGAATCCACAAACAAATTGTGGACGGACGGACAGGGGCGACAACAATTTACATCCCACTTCTACTTGTTGCCATTGGCAACCTTTGATAAAACTGTCCTGTTTATTTGCAATACATGCATAACAGTATCCGTGTATCAGAAGTGTACAGAAAGAATACTGTTCATTTCTGATACACGGATACTTTTACACCGTTTTAGATACCTATCAAGCAATAAGTAGCGGACGTTGAGTCCGACCCAGATTGCAATTGATAACGATGGCTCTATACTACATGTATGTACATGAAACAACTAGTCAAAATCATAGTAACAAAACAAAATGGGGGGAAGTACATGGCAGTTCAAAAACATTGTAACACCATAGGTCCTTTGTCTGATGTGGAGAGCGGACGAAGAAACCAGTCGCCACATCCTACGTACGACCCATTTATCTTTTCTTACTACATATTTCTGTAGTCTTGTGATCGTCTAGATTTTGTCTCTAGCTGTCTTTACTTCTGCTTCACGTTGTGTATTTACTTCTTACAGTTTCTTAAGACGTTTGTCTTACCAGGAATAACAATGCGACAGTTTGCTTCTACATATTTTATATATATATATATATAGCTGAATACTGGTATACAAGCATAATAGATAACAATACTAGCTAAAACCATTTCTCTACCCTAGCCAGCCTCGCAGCTGTCTAGGAACTCAGATGTAAGCTCTCTGGAACCTAATAGAAGCCTGTCTTGAAAGGTTCAAATAGATATCTTATATAGCAACCACGTTTATCATGCACAGGAAGCCTGTTCATGGCCCTCAACCTGTGCAATTAACGATATGATTGGTTACTTTAAGTCAAATGATGCAATTAGAAGAATTCCACTCACATGTAATTCTGGTGGTAAATTGTGAGACCTGTTTTGGTTTAAGAACTCTTTTTATGTAACAATATGTCAATTACAGACTAAGTTGATTTAGTGCACATTAAATATGTGAATATGTTTGAAATTACTAACTTGCCAAAGATATTAATTAATGAAATATAAAGGCATCTTATTTCTCTATTTCTTGTCTATAAATTTAAAAACAATGTCGCGGCGACGATAGTGCTACAACATATACAATGACATTAAATTAACATAACATATTACAAAAATCAAATTATACATATCAATTGCAGGGCTCTATAAAAGTTGAGTGTGCCTGCGCACACACTTGAAAATGTGCCTGCAGGGTCATACTGAAACACAGGGATGTAGCCAGGATTTGGTGAGTGGTGTAAAAATATATTTGGCGAGCAGAGCGATTCCAAAAAATTTTGGGAGGGGGGCGTGGTCTTTTATGAAAATTAAACCCTTTTTGGTGTATTTTCAGAGCATCTGCTGCCTTTTGTATTTGGTTCAGTGCAAATCAAATTTCCATTTATATATTCAAATTTTACTAAATTCACTTAATTTTCATCAATGATACAGGGATCTAAAAACTTTTTGACAACACCCGACCGAGCATAAAATTGTCCCGCCCCACTCTGTTTCTCTGGATAGATAAGTTGAGGACCTTTCGGTATTTGTTTTGTTGGTTTTTTTTTTTCAAATATTACTTTATTACTTTGAGATTAAAAATTAGGTAGATATTGATGATTAAAACACGTTGTATTATTTGACTTGTTTGTAAAGTTGTTGTACGTGTCTCACTAATATTATTATTATTACGGTGGAATGAGAATCAGGTTAGGCAGAAACTGAGAAAACTCTCAGCGTCCTCCTAGTTCTACTCTCGGGCCGTAGCAAATCCAGGGTCAAGAAATAAAATAAGAAACATCATGAAAATTTGCAGGCACGTGTTGGACAATTACGACATTCAAACCTTTAACATTGGAGTGCCGTAAATTGGTCTGGGTGACCTATTTACGGCAAATAAACAAATATAAAGACCGTAGAATAATTGTAAAATGAATAGACCTAGGCCTACACATCTAAGTATAAATAAACAAAATACCAATACATCTTTCTTTAAACTAATTTGGGATGATAGGGTCTACTACAGCACACAAAAATAAATTATGCCGTGACAGACATGGTTTGCGTACGTTGGCTTTTACCATGGCTTTGCCGTTTAATTGTGGTGGTAAATTTCGAGCGCTGAGTTTGTGTACAGAGAAGGACGAAGGGGTTTAAATACGACTGGGCGGCTTTCTTCGATTTTTTCTTTGTGCTGGGCGGCAAAAAATAGTGCCGGGCGCAGGCGCCGCCCAGCATGGCTATATCTTTAAAAATGTGCCTGCAAAAAAGTTTTTTTTAAAGCAAATGTGTCTGCGCACGCTGTGCGCATGTTCGCGGAAATATCGATGCCTGATCAATTGGCATCTATTTCATAATTTGGTTTGATTAATATTAATATGCAAAATATATAAATTAGAATATTGAATAATTATTTTAATTAATTGTGATGATAGAAGGCGCAGTTCTCTTGCTGGACACTTCACAGGCATTGAAAATAAGCAGGATGAAAAAAAAAAACGCCTAGAAGAACCATCCGCCGATGTATACTTTCACCAGGAATGACCCACGTTTCGCATTTCCTTTACACTACATTTAATTATATCGCAGTCCTCTACGCCATAGACAAGTTGTTTTGACGATGTGGTCTAAACAAACACGTGATTGTTTTACGCTCAGGAGTATCATAGCAAGACGCACGTGTAAATACTACTCAGGTCGTCTCTCCACTGCGAAATCATTCTACCATGAAATGTAACGCGAGGCTCAGAAAGGGATAAATAATGAAAGAGCAGAAAGTATTTGCAACTTTTCGGTTCAAACGACTCGTTAATAAATACTATTTTTCACATTTTGCTTTACAATATTCGATAGAAATGTGATGTAAGTAACTTATTAGCACCTTTCCTCGGTGTATCGGTGAATATCAGGACAGTTTTGGTCGGGAGGCGCTTCGGCTGGGCCCCTCGACCAAAACTGTCCTGATATTCACCGATATGCCGAGGAAAGTGTGCTAATAACTACTACATACGTCCACATGAAAATGTGGGCGTATAAAAATTGGACAAAATATCATGAATTAGCAATGAGTAGATCTTTGCCGCTCCTGTTTGTGTAGTTTATGAAAAATAATATATCTTCGTCCCACAAAACAAAGAAATCGAATGGAGCCATTTTTTCGTTATTGGCAGCTGTCAAAAAGACTGGTTATTCGACATCGACATTCTAGGCCAGGCAGATAATTTGAAATCGTGGAAACCCTATGGATTAACCAAGGGTATAGTGGAGTAGAACGGAATGAGTACACTGGGTAAACGAGGATGGTACTAAAGTATCACCGAGAAATAGTTTGAAAGACAAATTTCAATCTTTTTAAAATATATTCACCAATTTTGCTTACTTTGCTAATTTCATGAAGAATTTGTGGTTCATTTTCATCTATTGCACAGTTCCGTCTTTTTAACAATTGATCATCTTTCCTAGCTTTTCTCAGTTCTATTGTTGTTTGGTTTCTACGTCTTCTCATTTCCTAAAAGAGAAAAACGAAATTCCAGAAATATCTTCTTCGTTTGCATATTAAACAAGCCAACAGCGAGGCCGATGTCCCCCATAGAAATCCCAAAATAAATAGATGACACATTTAATAGCACATTTATTTTTTTCAAAAGTATCAATCAATCAAACTGATTATCAATTATACACTTAGTTTCATCACTGTCAGATAGAATCAAAGTTATCGTGTCTCAAAGCATCGACCAATGAAATTGCTTACCTCAGTTCACCTTAGCTCGAAATGTCAAGACATTCACCTAATGCCCCTAAGCATCAAGTTTGAACATTCTACCTCAATTAGAAGGTGAGTTATTGTCTTCCAAAGTCTCGACCAATCAAATTGCTTATCGCTCTGTTTGCCCTGAGCAGAAAATGCTTATTATCGAACTTAGTCAAGGTATTGATGTAAGTTTCATCATTCTCACTTAATTAGAACTAAAGTTATCGTGTCCAAAAGCATCAACCAATCAAATTGCTTATCTCTGTTTACCCTAAACAGAAAATGCTCATCTTTAAATTCCATCAAGGCATTGACCTAATAAACACCTACACCAAGTTTGAACTTTCTTGCTCAATTAGAAGGAGTGTTGTTGTGACCCAAAATGTGTTACGATCAGACCGACGGATTAACCCATTTTAATAGTCCCCTGCTTTCTTCGAAAGGCAGAGGACAATAAATATTAATATCAAATAATGCAATGAATACTCCCCCCTAAGACTATTTTAAATTTTCTGTAGTAACCTAATCCTGTCTGGATTATCGCCCTTATTTTCATGCCTTTACAAATACACTTACAGAGTACGATTTCTTCAGCATACCTGTTTTGCATTTCTTGTGTGGGTATTATATTATAAATTGTACAATTACATAACTTAACTAGAACTGCGAAGCAGTAATGACGGGTTTCACTCGAGCCACATTAACCTTGAACATATGTCACATCCGGTACCAATGAAACCATTAAACAGGTTTTTACATAAGCATTGCACATATCAAATAAAATGGACGCAGAATCAACCAAATTCAGCAATATGAATTCCTTTTACATACATTTTATACATTTTTTACATGTAAGTGTACAGTACCTCCGGTGATAATGACAATGTTCAATTAGTTTTATGAAATAAGAAATGGCATAAGGCATCACATGGTGCAAATTTTATGTAAATCGAATAATAATTGCCACATTTATAGACCAAAAACCACGACCTTGTAAACCATATTTTTACGCTATTTCAGAACGAGGGGCAGCCATTTTGTCTGTCAGTTTTTGGTCAATTTTCACGAAATTTGAACTCAGTCGTCCCTAGGGTGTAACGGTGATATAATAGTACGTTTTTTTTAAATCGGATAAAAATTATGACCTCTATAGGATCCACAAGCTAAAAACGCGATTTTTCGTACAATCAGAGACCATAATTCAGGAAGTTACAGTCCGATATGCGCGAATATCAAAAGGAACCACGATCTTTGGGTTATAAACTTACATTTCATGTTTCAACAAAATCGGATAACCAGCAGCTGCCAGACAGGATACGCCCACATTTTCGACAGATGGATAGAGAACAAGCTAACAAGAAAGTGATTTTTCCTACTATCAAGGGCCATAATTCAGGAAATTACAATTCAATATGCGCGAATATCAAAAGGGACTGAGATCTTGTGTTATAAACTTACATTTCAAGTTTCAACAAAATCGGATAAAAATTGTGACTTCTATAGGGTCCACAACCTTGAGATACCCTATTTTTACACTATTTGAGAACAAAGTTCGGCCATTTTGTCTGTCAGATTTGGGTCTATTTTCACGAAATTCGAACTCAGACGTCCTTAGGGTGTAAAAGTGATATAATACGGTTTTTTAAATCGGATAAAAATTATGACCTCTATAGGGTCCACAAGCTAAAAACGCGATTTTTCGTACAATCGGGGGCCATAATTCAGGAAGTTACTGTCCGATATGCGCGAATATCGAAAGGAACCGAGATCTTTGGGTTATCAACTTACATTTCAAGTTTCAACAAAATCGGATAAAAATTGTGACCTCTATAGGGTCCACATCCTTGATATACCATATTTTTACGCTATCTGAGAACGAACGGCGGCCATTTTGTCTGTCAATTTTGGGCCGATTTTCACGAAATTCGAACTCAATCATCCTTATGGTGTAACAGTGATATAATAATACGTTTTTTTATATCGGATAAAAATTTTGACCTCTATAGGGTCCACAAGCTAAAAACGCGATTTTTTGTACAATCAGGGGCCATAATTCAGGAAGTTACGGTCCGATATGCGCGAATATCGAAAGGAACCGAGATCTTTGGGTTATAAACTTACATTTCAAGTTTCAACAAAATCGGATAAAAATTGTGACCTCTATAGGGTACACAACCTTGATATACCATATTTTTATGCTATTTGAGAACGAACGGCGGCCATTTTGTCTGTCAATTTTGGGCCGATTTTCACGAAATTCGAACTCAGTCGTCCTTATGGTGTAACGGTGATACAATAATACGTTTTTTTAAATCGGATAAAAATTATGACCTCTATAGGGTCCACAAGCTAAAAACGTGATTTTTCGTACAATCAGGGGCCATAAATCAGGAAGTTACGGTCCAATATGCGCGAATATCGAAAGGAATCGAGATCTTTGGGTTATAAACTTACATTTCAAGTTTCAAAAAAATCGGATAAAAATTGTGACCTCTATAGGGTCCACAAGCCAAAAACGTGATTTTTCGTACAAACAGGGGCCATAATCCATGAAGTTTCGATTCGATACATGCCAATATCGAAAGCAGCCAAGATCTTTTGGAGATACACCTATATTTCAAGTTTCGTTAAAATCGGATAAGAATTGTGACCTATAGAGTGTCCACAAACAAATTGTGGACGGACGGACGGACAGACGGACGTGCGGACGGACGGACAGGGGCGACGGCATAACACGTCAACATGAAAATGTGGGCGTATAAAAATTGAGACCTCTATAGGGTCCACAACCTTGATATACCATATTTTTACGCTATTTGAGAACGAGGGGCGGCAATTTTGTTTGTCAGTTTTGGGCCGATTTTCACGAAATTCGAACTCAGCCGTCCCTAGGGTGTAACAGTGATATAATAATAGTTTTTTTTTAAATCGGATAAAAATTATGACCTCTATAGGTTCCACAAGCTAAAAACGCGATTTTTTGTAAAATCAGGGGCCATAATACAGGAAGTTACGGTCCGATATGCGCGAATATCGAAAGGAACTGAGATCTTTGGGTTATAAACTTACATTTCAAGTTTCAACAAAATCGGATAAAAATTGTGACCTCTATAGGGTCCACAACCTTGATATACCATATTTTTATGCTATTTGAGAACGAACGGCGGCCATTTTGTCTGTCAATTTTGGACCGATTTTCACGAAATTCGAACTCAGTCGTCCTTATGGTGTAACAGTGATACAATAATACGTTTTTTTAAATCGGATAAAAATTATGACCTCTATAGGGTCCAGAAGCTAAAAACGTGATTTTTCGTACAATCAGGGGCCATAAATCAGGAAGTTAAGGTCCAATATGCGCGAATATCGAAAGGAATCGAGATCTTTGGGTTATAAACTTACATTTCAAGTTTCAACAAAATCGGATAAAAATTGTGACCTCTATAGGGTCCACAAGCTAAAAACGCGATTTTTTGTACAATCAGGGGCCATAATTCAGGAAGTTACAGTCCGATATGCGCGAATATCGAAAGGAACCGAGATCTTTGGGTTATAAACTTACATTTCAAGTTTCAACAAAATCGGATAAAAATTGTGACCTCTATAGGGTCCACAACCTTGATATACCATATTTTTACGCTATTTGAGAACGAGGGGCGGCAATTTTGTTTGTCAGTTTTTGGGCCGATTTTTACGAAATTCGAACTCAGCCGCCCCTAGGGTGTAACAGTGATATAATAATAGGGTTTTTTTAAATCGGATAAAAATTATGACCTCTATAGGTTCCACAAGCTAAAAAACGCAATTTTTCGTACAATCAGGGGCCATAATTCAGGAAGTTACGGTCCGATATGCGCGAATATCAAAAGGAACCAAGATCTTTGGGCCGATTTTCACGAAATTCGAACTTAGCCGTCCTTACGGTTTATAATGGTAATATAGTATTACGTTTTTTTAAATCGGATAAAAATTATGACCTCTATGGGATCCACAAGCTAACCAGCAAATGCCAGGCAGGATACGCCCACATTTTCGAGAGATGGATAGAAAACAAGCTAAAACGAAAAGGATTTTTCCTACAATCAAGGGCCATAATTCAGGAAATTAAAATTCGATATACCCAAATATCGAAAGGAACCGAGATCTTTGGGTTATAAACTTACATTTCAAGTTTCAACAAAATCGGATAACAATTGTGACCTCTATAGGGTCCACAACCTTGATATACCATATTTTTACGCTATTTGAGAACGAGGGGCGGCCATTTTGTCTGTGGACGGATGGGGGCGACAATATACGTCCACATGAAAATGTGGGCGTATAAAAAAAACAATATTTGCTTTCAAAAAGTGGTACCGAACTGTCAAAATTGTAGTTTTTGCTAAATATACGTCACTTCCAGTGCCAAAAGGTAACTATCGGTACCAAAGAAAACTAGAACTGCTATGCAGTAATGACGGGTTTCACCGGTGCCCCGTTACCCTTGAACATATGTCACTTCCGGTACGATGAAACCATTAAACAGGTTTCCATATAAGCATTGCACACATCAAATAAAATGTACGCAGAATCAACCAAATCCAGCAATACCAATTCATTGTATACATTTGTTACATGTAAGTGGTCCTGACAAAATTACATTACTTCCAGTGGTAATGAAAATGTTAAATTAGTTTTATGAAATCAGAAATAGAATAAGGCATCACATGGTGAAAATTTTATGTAAATCGAATAATAATTGCCACTTTTATAGACCA